GAACTTTCTGTAGAACAGGGATGTGTTCTGTGGGGAACAAGAGTCGCGGTGCCAAAGAAAATCAGAAGAACAGTGTTAAAAGAGATCCACGACGGACACCCTGGTATCGTAAAAATGAAGACAATTGCACGACAATATGTCTGGTGGCCAAATATTGACATGGACATCGAGAAGGTCTGCAGACAGTGTGAGACATGCCAGCTAGAACAACGCATGCCACGCCATGTTCCACTGCACTCATGGGAGTTTCCTGGAGGGGTGTGGAGCAGGATTCACATTGATTTTGCAGGTCCATTCATGAGTCACATGTTTATGATAGTGGTCGATGCGTACTCCAAGTGGCTAGAGGTCTTCAAAATGTCACAGATAACCTCAGCAGCCACCATCACAAGGCTTAAAAGACTGTTTGCAGCACAAGGAGTACCAGAACAAATCGTCACTGACAACGCCACAACCTTCATGTCGGATGAGTTCCAACTCTTCATGAAAAGGAATGGAATCTTGCACACGACTGGGGCACCGAAACATCCTGCTACGAATGGACTCGCTGAGAGATGCATTGCGACCTTCAAGGCAGGCATGAAGAAGCTTGCAAGAGAGATCCTGAGTGTTGAGGATAAGATTTCACACTTCTTGCTGCGTTATCGCACAACACCAAATAGTACAACTGGAGAGTCACCAGCAGACTTGTTCTTAAAGAGACACGTACGAACACGGCTGGATTTCCTTAAACCGAGCATCTCTGAGACGGTGAGGAGGAGACAGTATCAGCAGAAGGAGGAACATGATCGTCAGGCTGCCGAAAGACAGTTTGATGTGGATGAGACCCCCCGTCTATCTACGCAACACAGCAGGAGAGCATCCCAAATGGATCCCTGGAGTAGTGACAACGGACTGGGGACCAGTGTCATACCATGTGCAAGGTGAGACTGATCAGGTATACAGGCGCCATGGAGACCAGCTGCGTCTTCGATACCCACCTGACATTTTAGATCCTGGACCTGAAAGTGCGACTCAGTCAGCTGAGCAGGAGAAAGACTTTGACGAACCGGAGTCCACAATTCCTGCATCACCAGCTTTTGCACCAGACCCGCCTGAGCCACTTGTGCCAGAGACAGTCGTTTTGAGACGTTCAGTACGTAAAGCACAACGCCCTTTACGTTACAGGGATTGATTGTGATGTCATAATTTGAAAGAAGTTCAAATTGAGTTTGTTTATCATTGAAGAAATGTTATGCAGTATGATGGATAAGGAAATGTGAATTTGTTATGTACCTTTAAACTAAGGGGGGAGGTAATGTGGTGTATTAACCACCATAGTTATTTGTATGTTGTTTGGACGCATTGAGTTTCCGTACTCTGTATTGCCATCTACTGCGCATGTGTAAAATGTTACCGTGAATGTCTCAGTCGCTTCCCCACGTTGTTAATGGCGGAACTCAACGGTCGAATACATAATAGAAAACACGTGTGTGTGCCTCGTCATTTCAAGACACAACAACATTCTTAAAACGTAATCTGAGCAAAAGGGTGAATTCAGAATTGTGTATAAAAGTGGTAGCCCATCGTATTAATCGGCGACCAGGAAATAGCTCACTTTCCAGAGATGAAAGTGGACTTTTCTGAAAATTCCGGGAAACATAAATAAATAAATAAATGTTTGTATGTATACACACACACACACACACACACACACGCTCGCGCGCGCGCGCGCACATACGCACTTGGCCGATCAAGCATGAATTAGTTTACACAAAACGCTATTCAAATACTCGAGATTCAATGATTAATCTTCCTTTTGTGTGCACACGTGTACCCTTTATCTCCAAGATATGGCGAGGCCATGAGAATGCGAGGCGAGGGTATTACTGTTGTGGCGACGCCACTCAAGCTAAGCGAGCCTCAGCAGTAGCTAGTCCC